TTCGTCAACACCTCTCGCACAACATTTTTCAAATCCTTTGATTCTAAGGAAATTGATTCATCCATAATTCTTGCTCGATCTCTTCTAGTGCGTAAATACCATACTTGTAGTAATATGAATACCGAAAACAAAGATGTCATATGATTTAAGTAGATATAATCAAGCATATCATCATCCATTGATGCCACAAATCAGAACCTAAAAATTTAGCATAATTCACGTAAATCTGTAAGAACTCAAATTACTAGTACCTACAAGTCTATATAATTGCAAAAAAATAGAGTACAATAACAAAACTGCAGAGAATGAAGTACAATAACTAAACTACAAAAAAAGAGAGTACTAAAAAATGCACAAGTGTAGAAAACAACATAAAAAATACCATAAAAAAGCACAAAAAAAAGAACAGAAAAAAATTACACAAAAAAACAGAAAAAAAAGAGAAATGATTTTACGCCTGCAAAACCTTTCTGCAAACATTGTAATGAGAATTGTATACAGAGTTGTAATTCTAGTGCCTTCTCTGCATTTCCTTCACTACAGAAGCCATTAATAATGTAATTGAAGGTAAAGCCATCAAAGGAACTCCACTACTCATCATTTCTTCAAAAAGATTACTGGCCTCAACTAGTTCACCTTTTGCACACAATCTATGTATAACAGCATTATATCAATACAAATTTAGCAATTCATTTATATGCCTCATGTCTAGAAGGTAATCGAAAGCAAAGTAAACACAACCTCTTCTAAAAAAACTCGTGATATAAACGCTGTGTGTTACAACAAATGGACTCAAAAATGCAAAATTCTAGAAAAAAGATAAAAAATTACCAGAAAAAAACACAAAAAAAAAGAACATAAAAAAACCACAAAAAAAAAACAGAAAAAAAAGAGTGAAATGAAAATTGAAAAAAGGGACACAAAAAAAACAAAAATCTGGTATGAAGGAAGCATGGTATTGTGTAAATCTGGGCAATAATTGGGTTGAACCTCAATTTGACTTTATTTTTTTTTCTTCCTGTGCAATAATTGGGTGATAATATACGCAAAGCAGAGCAGAAAAAGTAATAATCTTCACTACAATTCGGTTGGAGATGGCTATGGGTTATACATTACAATACGAGAAGCCGAACAAATATAGCCAACGCAAAGCAGAGCAGAAATACATATACGCAAAGCAGAGCAGAAAAAATTGGAATACCTGGTTGGAGATGGCTATCGGAAGACGACGATGGCAATGCGAAGATGGTGATTGGTTTTCTATGGGTACGTCGATTTGGGTACTGAAGGATAGCAGCGGAAAATAAAATTCATTACCTCCATATTTCGCCAATTTGGCGGTCATCCAAATTACACTGTTCAGAGGTAACCCTACCTCTCCCTACCTCCCCTTACCTCTCTTTACCTATCCCAATTTTTGTTACCAAACAAGGCAAAAAATTAAATCTACCTCTACCTACCTCCCCCTACCTCCAAACAAACATAGCGTTAATCATATCAGGTCCAATTTGATCAGATCCGATTAGATCAAATCTAAAAAAAATTAATATTATTATTACTATTATTATTAATATTACTCCGTACTATTATTATTATTGCTATTACTATTACTATTGCTATTCTTATTGTCATTATAATTTTTACTAATATTGTTGTTATTATTATTACTATTATTATTATTGCTATTATTATTATGGTTATAATTATTATTACTATTGTTATTATAATTAATAATAATAATAATAATAATAATTTTATTATTATTACTACTATTAATATTATTATTAATATTAGTATTGATATTATTATTAGTACTATTACTATCATTATTATTGTTAATGTAGTTATTATTATTACTATTATTATTTTTATTATTACTATTATTGTTATTATTATTAATATTTCTATTATTATTATATTTCTATTATTATTATAGTTATTATTATTATTTCTATTATTATTACTATTATTATTAATATTTCTATTATTATTATTATTTTAATTTAATTTAAATAAAACTTATATCAGATCAAATCAAATCAGATTCAATCAATTTAAATCCAATCAAGTAAGATCAGATCAGAACTTCAAAAAATCAAATTAGATCAGGCGAACGGAACGCAAACTTAGGGGTGGGAACGAAATTATGTATCTAGAGTTAGGAGTGGGCATGAAATTTGTTTTGGCTGGCCCGTCCTGAAACATTCTGGAGTTGTTTCGGAATTGTACCGTTAAATTAGGGATAAAATTTGTATTTTTTATTATCAAGAACCGGTCCCACTCCGAATTTAAATGGTACAATACCGGAACCACCATAAATATATACTGTTCCATCTTGTTTCATACGGAGTATGTTCTAAAAATAAAATATACTCCATATTTGTTAATATTTTCGTTAATAGAAGACCAAGGTCAGGTAGATGAAGCATTTTTGGTAGCCTAATTTGGTGACTGAAATTTAACTTTCTCATGTTGTTTATGTGGGTTGTTTTTGTTTGTGCTATGTTTGTAATTTGTGTTCTACAATTTGAAGGATTGAATTCATTTGCTATTTGTTCAAAAATAATAATGAGATATTTGATATGTACTCTGTATATTAGTAATTGTAATGCTTAAAAAATATTAGTGATAGTATATTGCTTTAGTACTAATAAGTATGTGCCCAAAGTCAAAGTCGATTGCCTCTCTCTTTTGTATTTTATACAGTGGTGTTTTTATCTCTAGCTTCAAACAATGACAAAGCAAGACAATCTGAACTTATCCCACTTTATCCTGATCTCAAATATTAAGAGACAAAGGTGGATAGACATGAGGCCCAAACTACTCCGAATTGTCTAAATAAAACAAGACAGAACACGAGACAACATACAATCTGGACTGCCCCGAACCGTGCCCTCCTCTACCTAGATTAGGTACACTCACCAAATATTCATTTTGAATCAATGTAGTATTCATTATGAAGTAATGTAGTGTTGATTTTCACATATTTATAAATTATAATTAGAATTTAGAATATTTATTTACGAACCACATATTGTTCTTTCTAAAACAACACATTGTTCAGTCCAAGCAAGCTCAACGTAGTGTTCATTCTCAACAACGTAGTGTTCACATATATATTAATATATTTTTTTGTTCACATATACTCTCTCCGCCCCAAAAAGTCAGTTACATTTCGAAAAATTTGCATCCCTTAAAGTCCTCTCCATTTCTATTAAAAAACCACTTGTACCCCTTACTTTTTCATACCTTACCTATCACATCATACCTTTTTCCTAATAATCTACCCATCACATCCTACTTTTATCCATCACATCAAGGGTATTTTTGGAAAGTCAACACCAAAATATCCCTCCTTATTTTACCACTTTAGTCAAAATGTCTCAATCTTTTTGGGACGAAGGGATTATATAATATATTTTCACATATATATGTATACTAATATATATATATATATATATATATATATATATATATATATATATATATATATATATATATATATATATATATATATATATATGGGCCTGTTCCCGTGAGAATGCACCTTGTGGAGAGAAATGAGAATAAAATCTAGCCGTCGGATCTGATGCATCGTGCGGCTCAGATTGCATTCTGGGCTCAGATTTTGAGATACTGCATTTTCGAAGGTTTATGGTGCATTTTGACGTGATGCATTTTCGCAACATTTTGGTGCATCTAATTTTGATGAAATTTTGACCCTTAGATCTCACAATCTAAAACACCAGATTCATTCTCATTTCTCTCCTAAAATTGCATTCTCACCAGAACCAATATATATATATATATATATATATATATATATATATATATATATATATATATATTGAATTGAGGTACAAATTTACTCAGTTTGATTCAAAAAAGTTAAATTGAATGAGTACACTAAGAAAGAGGTTGTGTGTGTGTGTGTGTTGTGCGTAGAAAGAAAAAAATTATTTCACGTTTGAAAAAATGGTGTTTGAAAATGTGTAATCTTAGTGTTATTTTGTAAATTCTAATTTTGTATCCAACACATCATATTCTTCAAAATTTGAAACTTCAAATTTTTGTGATCTTTGTTGTTGGGGTTTGTGAGAATTGAAACTTCAAAATTTAAAAATTCAAGTGTGAAAGAATCATGGTGAGCTTAGCAATCATCTATGGTGAACTTTGTAGTGATCGGTGGTGAGCTCTAGTGTCATCTAACCATAATATGTCATCTTGCCATAAGGTGTCATCATACTGGAGTATATCCCAAATACACACACACACAAGACGTGTTCCCCATGGACATGTCATGTTTTCATGACTGTCGTTGGCACCTTGGCAAGGCATGGCAACACTTGTTTCAGTAGGTTCATCATCACCCGTAGCAGATTAGTGATCACTTGCAAGATTAGATTGTAATGCCCTGAGATATACCTTAGAATTTAATAATGAATTTCTAATAAATTATTTTTTCAATTTTCATTTAAATTAAATAAAACACAAAAACAAAAGTACTACGAATAAGTTATTTATAAAGTGATGTTTTTATGGTTGAATTTGTTATCATATTGTAGGTCTCGATGAGACGAGACCAAAGATATATAGTTAGACATGTTTGGAATTATGTGTGAAAAGTTATGAGCTAAATAAATGTTACAGTTTAATAATTAAATAAAAAGGTTTTATTACATAATATAATAAATAAAAATAAATTTAATAGGAATATTAATTCAAAAGTCCTACCTCAATGTCAATTATGAAAAAACCCCAAGTCTTGGTCTCTTGAACTCCGTTAAAGCACCATACTAGTTTGGCAACTTTCCAATATGATTGAACCCGAGATTTCACAACGGCTATCTCAAATTGCTCGCAGTGAAGATTTCACGACTATCTCCGACCCCTGCCCCAAGGATTTGAAGGCTATCCTCGAACCTTTTACCCAAGGATATATCAGCTATCCTTTACTAGTTACAAATGAGAATTTAATAACTATCCTCAACCATACGAAGGTATGTTTGAGAACACAAAAATAAGTTCTACACAACGGCTTAACACAAGGATGAAGAATAGGACTTAGCCGGTGTAGAAGAAAAATATACTCTCTCGAAAATATACAAGATCAACCTATATATATGAGAGTATATATCTAGACCACAAGCTCAAATGTGTGTGTATCAAAATCAAGAGAAAATGGCTTTTGAAATAGCCAAAACAATAAGAATGAAGAACAAAAAGATAAACACACTTAGAATATGAACTATGAAGTTTGGGAGCTTGGGTTGTTTAAAATGAAGGATTATGGCCCTATTTATAGTTGAGAAAGATTAGTGAACGTTAATGGCTGTTTAAGAGTGATTAGGGTTGGTCAAAGGTGATTAAAATTCAAATTTGAACCCTTAGCAGTCAAACGCTAGCAAGAAACCGCCACACGGTAGCTTCTTACTACCACATTCATTTTAGACCTGAGAAAACTCGCAGCAAATAGACCAAAAAGTAGCACACCACCGTTAAACGGTAGCTTGATACCGTTACAACACAAGCACTTCCAAAAATACATTTTTCTTGGACAGAATCCTTTCCAATTTGAATTAAAACCTTTTGGATGTTTAAAAGAGAGTTTGAGAAGGCTTTAAATATATTTTGTGAGTGCATTTGAACTTGTGAATATAGGTATATAAAGTCATATCCTTATATTTAATTCTTTCTATATTCTACGCTAGTTCGGTGTTTTAACTTCGTTTTTGAGAGCTAATTTTTAATGTATTATTGTTATTATTGAAACACTCAAACAAACATTAGCTCATATATTACTCCGTATTTGTTAACATCAAAATATCAGATTTAGCAAATAAAGGTTAACACTCACCCCATACCCAAAAAAAATCAGATATTGAGAGATATGAAAATCCATGTCTTCCACGCTCATCAAACCTGTCCTTAGCATTTTTCTATTTTTTGGGTATTTCCCACCCATTTTTCAACTACTTTCCTCCTTACCGGTTGCCCTCGGAAACTCTTCATCTGAAAGGTCAGCGAGAATAAAGCTGATTTTTTTTAAAGAAAAGTGTCCTCTTTATACTTTGATTCAATTTCACTCCTCCAGAAGAAAAAGAAGAAAGGGATAAACAATAAAACTCCGGGTTGATTGAAAAAAGTTGTTAGCTGCGGGGTTAGGATGTCTTCTGGTTTCTCTCTCTTAATGAGTTTCTTCGATTACATCAGTTAAGATTTGTATGTATATGCTATGTATTGAGCTACACAAATTCTTTATTTGAGCGAAGAGATCAGAAAAGGTAAAGAAACATACATTTTCTTAGTAATCTGTTGTGGGGTTCTTCTGTTTTGCTGTAGAGAAAAAAAGCCTTTCATGTTTGAGGTGGTAAAGATTCTGGCATGTCTTGTAATTAAGTTATTTTGTTGTCCTTGAAGAGTTACTCTCAATATCTATGCCCTTGTGGATTTCTTGTAATTTTATCATCTGTTCAATTGCTTGGGGTGAAATGGATTAACATCCGATTAAAGTTATAATTTTTTTGGTTAATTGAGCTTCCAGTAAAGATTGAGTCTTGGAATTAAGTATGGGGAATCATGGCAAGAACAAGAAAAAACAAAAAGGGGCTAAATCTGGCGATTCCAAAGTGAAGAAAAACAAAGGTAGTGTGGACAGCCAAGGGGTGTATGATAAGGACATGGTTGTGTTCATTTCAATGTCACGGGAATTGAAGGATGAGGGGAACGACCTTTTTCAGAAGAGGGATTATGAAGGGGCCATGTCTAAGTATGAAAAAGCTATAAGTCTGCTTCCAGGGAACCACATAGATGTGTCCCAACTCCGAAGCAATATGGCGGCTTGCTATATGCAGATGGGGTTGAGTGAATTCCCTCGGGCTGTACACGAGTGTAATTTGGCCCTTGAGGTCACCCCGAATTATGGCAAGGCGCTTTTGAAGAGAGCAAGGTGTTATGAGGCAATGGATAAGTTTGATTTGGTGTTGAGAGATGTTAGAAGAGTGTTGCAGATGGAGCCGAATAATCTCATGGCTACTGAGATTGCAGAGAGGGTGAAGGCAACAGTTGAGCAAAGAGGTATTGGGCAACATTTACTTGCAGCAGTGCCCGAGTACGTTGAGCCTCCTGTTGCCTCTTGTTCTTCGAAAGCTTCTCCAAAAGGGAGGGCGCGGAGGAATAAAAGTAATAAAATTGATGTGAAGCAAGAAGGGGCTCAAGATAATAAGACTGCTAAGGATGGATTTGATGAGACCCATGAGGCAAAGAACAAGACTACAGAAGGGGGGAATGGGGAGGCAAAAGTTAAGGATGGAGCTCTTGGGTTTGAGGGTTTGAATCCCAATGATAAGAAAGTGGAGGAAAAGAAGGCCAGAATATCAGATAATGGACTCCATGTTCAGAAGAAGGCTAAAAATCAAAATGAAGGGAAGGCCAAGCACACCGACGAGGAGGGAAAAGCTGAAGATAAATTGGCGGTTGATGAAATAAAAAAGGACGTGGAAAAACTTTCTCGTTCTAGAAGAATGGTGAAATTGATATTTGGGGAAGACATAAGATGTGCCCAAGTTCCTACGGGCTGTAGCATTTTGGAGCTGAGGGAGATCATACATGATCGGTTCCCAAACTCCAAATCATTTCTAATTAAGTATAAGGACCAAGAAGGTGACTTGGTTACTATCACAACAAGCAAGGACCTAAGTTGGGCAGAAGCTTCTTCTGTTGAACACAGTCCTGTCAGGCTATACATAGTAGAAGTTAGTCCAGATCAAGATCCATTCTTCAAGAAGTATTGGGGAGAAGAGAAACTGAAGTATAATGCAATACAAACTCACAAAATTGAAAACGAAGATCTACTTAGAAGAAGCAAGGACTTGCAGAAGAAATCAACTTGTATTGACGATGTGATCATTCATTTTTCTGATCAGTTTAAGAACTATGCCGGATTCAAATGTAATACTTACCCGGATCTACAAGAAGTTGGAATGAAACTCTATTCAGAGGCCATGGAAGAGATGGTGACAAGTGAAGAAGCTCAAGATCTTTTCACTGCTGCTGGAGAAAAGTTCCAAGAGATGGCTGCTCTTGCTTTGTTCAACTGGGGAAACATTCACATGACCCGCGCCAGGAAAAGAGTATACTTTACTGAAGACAAGACGAGAGCAGAATCTGTTTCCACAGAGGTCAAGTCTGCCTATGTTTGGGCAGAAAAGGAATACTTAACTGCAGGAAGGAGGTATGAAGAAGCATTGAATATCAAACCCAACTTTTACGAAGGCATTCTTGCCCTGGGGATTCAAAAGTCTGAACTGGCAAAACTCTCTTGGTACTATGCAAGTAGTACCAATGCTGATCTGGAATCATGGCCTTCTACAGAAGCATTGCAACTCTACAATGATGCTGAGGAGAATATGGAAAGAGGTATGCAGATGTGGCAGGAGGATCAAAAGAGAATGTCTGAACTAAGTGAAACACAGAACCTCTTGAAAAAAATGAAGTTGGAGTGTTTGTTTAGAGAGATTTCTGCAGACGAAGCAGCAGATCAGGCTGCAAAAATGATGTCTCAAATAAACCTTTTGTGGGGTTCCATGCTCTATGAAAGATCCGCGATGGAGTTCAAACTCGGTTTGCCTGTCTGGCAAAAATCTTTAGATTTTTCTGTAGAAAAATTTGAACTGGCTGGAGCTTCTCAAGCAGATATAGCTGCTATGATAAGGAGCCATTGTTCCAACACCACTGCTCCTGAAGGTATCACGGCGTTGTTTAAACCTGGTTGATTAACATTCTATTTCATGAATGAATAGCTGACAATTTAATGCTCCTCAGGCACAGGATTCAATATTGATGATGAGATGCATGAAGCAAGAAGATGGAAGAGAGATGTTCCATCTTTCCGTTTGGAACCATTACTTAGACGGAGAATTTCAAAACTCAATCCTGCCCCTTAAGAACACATAGCTAAATGAGTTTGTGGATTTGGCATATCAATGCATGTAGGAACACGAGCAACATCTACCACTGCTACATCTTCACTTCTTTATACTCCGTCCCATGTAAGTCGACCAACATGCTTCCAACTTTTTTCTCTTATATTTGAAGGAGATTGAGTGAAAGTGTCATGGCATTCTAATCACATTCATCTTTTCATTTCACTTTTTTTTTAAAGGAAACTTGGTTGGTTTGTAATGGTTTGTGAGAGTTTTAGCTGATTGTAGTTTTTGGTTAGGCAGTATGTTCTTATTATTGTTTGTATTGTATTGCAATTTTGCATTGATTTGTTTGTCAGTAATGATTAGTGACCTACTGTAACAATTACTATAACAGATATGAATTTTATTTGATTAGTGAATGATTGTAACAGATGTGCATGTTTGCCACTCTTGTACAGCTCAAAGCTAAGTGATACTCCTTCCATTTCAAAACTAAAGTCTCACTTTTCACAATAGGCGCCTCAAAACTAAAGTTCCAATTCTATTTAAGGCTTAACTAATCCATTAAAAATACTATAATACCCCTACATTTTCAAACCACTTTTTTCTACCCGCCCCCATCTATTCTCACCTTCATTAAACACATTACACTCTCTCAGTCTCTCACGCTATCATTTCACTGGAAAATTTGGAAGGTCAAACACACTTTAAAAAAAGTTGACTAAATTTGTGTGAAATCCAAGTGGGACTATAGTTATGGGATAGAGGGAGTCTATTATTCACATATGGTTGAGCATTTCGCCATTATTTTCTGTTCATCTATAATTCTATAACAATTTCACTGTACCAAAGCTGCTCAACGTGGGAACAAGAACACCTAACCGAAATACCCTTAGACCTCTGGGCAAAATTTCATGAGGTTCGGAAGGGCACTCAACTGAAGCTTCTTAAGCTCCTTCCCTGTCACACTGCAACAGTCTAAAGAAAGGGAGCGCAGATTCTTTAAAGACTTGAGATGCTGCAGGCCTTCGTTCGTAACACCAGAAGTCGATACATTTAAAGACACCAACTCTGTAAGTCCTGTATCATATTTCAAGGTGACTTTATTTAGTTAGGACTAACTAGTTAACATTTACGCGATAAAGAATGTATTGCAGGGATGAAAACATGCATACCTGACAAGTGTTCTAATGTCTTGTCTGTGAGGCTGAGGTTCTGTGATAGGTTTAGCATCATCAAGGTAGAAAGATGTTTCATAATTTTGGTGCCATCATCTGTTAGCCCGCCCCCACAAACGTCTAGTGACTGTAGATTTTTGAAATCTAATGAAACCACAAAGAAGTTCCACAGATCAAAAATAAATTACGGAGTACTTCTTACTGACTCATGAAAATCTTACAGTATATATATCTTAACTAGTTTTATTATTTTCCGAAAAAAATACAAATCAATATAATATCAGGTCATAAGTTTCATTAGGAAATATTGATAAAACCCTAACAAATACTTCATTGGTACTGCATAATGACCTATGGAACAGTTCAAAAACGGCACAAAGGGACCTTTAACATACATGGAAAATATTTTGTCCCGGAATCTGTTATTTGAGCTCCAAAAAGGTCAAGGTGAGTTATTCCAGTTAACCCTGCATCTGTAAAGAGCACAAAACTTACTTGCATTTCCCAACGGGTTGAGAAGTTTCTATATGCATTTGAATTAATTCAATTATCCAAAGATAAATAACACTATGGTATATTTTAAATGTAGTAGCCTGCAAAAAAAAAAAATCACAGTTTACCAGTAAGTGCAGCAACACCCGAGTCAGTAATATGACGAATGTCCAGATTAAGTGACTTCAGACACCTCAATCCAGACAAGTTTTCCAAACCCTCATCTGTCACTAAGGTGAATGACAGATTAAGATCCTCCAAATTGATCAAGCCTAAAACATATTGGTAACTCAGATCAGATTATGAGCTCCAAACACATCCATAGTTTCTTTTCGTAATCAGAACACTTTACCTAAGAGGTGACGAATGCCATTACTGTCGATTTTATTATCTGATAGCTCCAAATTTCTCAAGTTAGTAAGGCCTGGAAGACAAAAAAAAGAGCAGCATTTTGTTTATATTTTGTCATGTTTGAAGGAGGGCAATGGGGGATGGGTAGGGGGTATTGCAGAGATATACCTGCTAAATTGCGTAGCCCATCATCTCCAATCCTACAACAATCCAAGTTCAGGCTCTCTATCTTTGTTAGCCCTGCAACACAGCATATAGCCAAGATGGATAAGATATACATGTAGCATGAACTAAAACTTTGACACTGTGTTTGGTTCAAGGAACATAGATGGAGAACTTTTGTTTTCCTTCCACTTTTCTTTTCTTTTCCTCTCTAATCAAACAAGAAAAAATATTTTCCATCTCATTTTCTTTTCTTTTCCCTTTCAAATTCCTTGAACCAAACATAATTTGAGTCATTGAGTGAAAGTAACATGCTGGTGATAATCAAAAACCAAATGACTACTAGATCAGATGATGGAAACAATTGCTCCAGGAGATTTTAGACAGAAATCTTGATAGATTACAGAAAAAGTGTCATTTTTATGAATATACAGTGTATAATACTCCCTCCGTTTCTTAAAACCCTTCCTCTTTCATTTTTTTTATTTTTCTTAAAACACTTCCTTTTTCTATCAAAAAACCACTTTTACCCCTACTTTTTCATACCATACCTATCACATCATACTTTTTCACTAATAACTAAACTATCACATCTTACTTTTACCCATCACATCAGGGGCAAAATTGGAAAGTCAACTAAAATTACACTTTCCTTAATTTGCCCCAAAGTCAAAACAGGAACCGTTTTGAGAAACGGAGAGAGTATGTTATTTAGGATGATAAGTAGCATCATACCTCAGGCTGTTTTTGAGGAAGCATTTGAAATATATTTAAAACCTGATATCTTACATTGTGTTTGGTTCAAGGAATTTCGGAAGGAAAAAGTCAAAAAGTAGCAAGGAGGACCAATTTTTGATGTTTGGTTTTTTTTTGAACTCTGTTTGGTTATAAATTAGAATGGAAAAGATAAGAAAATTGAGCGAAAAAGGAGAAGTGTGGAAAATGTAATATAAAAATGGAAATGTGTTTTTCCTTCCATTTTTGTGAGGAAAAAGAGAAAAAACAACAAACTTCTCTCTTTGCCCCCTCCCCAGTCCCCCCCCCCAACCATGTCTTTCTTTGTTTTCTACAACAACCAAAGAAATAAATTACTACAAAGTAAATTCCTCACTAATTTCCCTTTCTATTGAATACATTAAGGTGAAAACATATTCCATATTGAGGAAATATTATGACCCAATGCTTTCATTAATTGCTGAAAGAAGAGACTGAGATATAACCTTGTAGATGGGCCAAACATTCATCACTGATATTGTTATTTCCTATGTTTAACACCTTCAAATTTTTCAGTGCTGCAGGTGGAAAAAAAAATCTTAAAACTTAAGATGGAAAAATGTGTAGGCGCTGCAGATTCTCTACGAATAATTATCGACTTACATGAAAATTTCTCGCAGCCTGCATCCTTCAGGGAGGTCCTACCTAGGTTGAGATGCTGAAGTGAACCAAGTTCTGCACAATATAATGCAGCAAAACCAAGAACAAGTTACTTCTAAACAACAACGACCCACAAGGGTCCCACAGGCCGGGTCGAAGGAGAGTGGGTGTAGACAGACCTTATTTCTACTTAAAAGGTAGAAAGACTATTTTCAAAAAAACCTTCGGCTAGAGAGAAAGAGCACCTGAAAGATAATCCAAACATGCAGCAGTAATGTGGCATCCCTCCATGTTTAGCAAAACAAGCTTGCTCAAACCTGGAGGGTAGTTAAACTGTGTCACATAAATACACTCAATGGTTTAAGAGTATAGATAGCAGCAGAGCTACAGTTTGATGAGAAAGAAATGTCCACCCATTGATAAATTAGGAAGTCATTAAAAGAAAGAATAGCTTCTGCAAGCATTAGACATGCATGGAGAGTTCTAGAGAGCTAATCTTCACCATTCGATGAAATTAATCTCTACCATTCATTCAGAGGGTAGAATATTATAAATAGGGTGGAGCCTTCATTTCCTAACCATCTAAGACAAGAAAACAAGCTACTTTTTTAGAGTGACAGAAAACTTCTATAATGGAGAGTTAGAGAGCCTCTTTGAGAGAATAGAGAGGTAGTATGAATTCTTATCCTCAAGCTCAAGTGAGTCACTCAATTGTGTGGCAATTTTTAGAATACATTTTTTTTGGTAAAGGAATATCTTCCATATAACAACAACAAACCCAATTTTTGATCTTATCAAGCATAGGAAATGCATTTAATAGTTTTGATTTCATCAAGCGAGTTCCAATTGTAGTGGTTTGCAGGTAAATTTCATGCATTTAGAACACAGAATGAAAAGAAAATTGAACTAAACATAACATCATAGTCCTTTTAAGGGACAGTAAAATCACACACAACTTACTGGAGGGAGAGCCTTTATCAAGTACAATGGATTGGGTAGTAGGCATTAGCAGAACTCAGTAGACAAATAAACTTGCAATGACTGAAACAGGATATAATACCTTTCAAATACAACACCCCAGCATCTGTTATGTTGACACAGGAAGTCTGCAGCTCCTTCAAATTGACAAGTCCTGAAGAAGCACAACATAAAAATCAGAAAAATGCATCAAGATATCTAAACATGCAAGTTACGTTTATGCTTGTTGTGGATATACCCGCAAGAGACTTCATGTCTGAATCCACTATGCATTCACAGCATCTGATGTTTAGACTATCAAGTCTAGTTAAACCTGCCAATGTTAGGTAAAGTGTTAATGCCATATCAGATGAGTTCTTGTCACTATGCGGTTGAAAAGAGTAAGCATTCTAGTCTCTAGTTTCGGTAAAGGTATGATGAATATGACAACAAACCTTCGATATGAACAAGTCCTCCATGGAGGCGAGGGCACTTCTCAAACTCCAACTTAACCAAATTAACTAAGCTAGAAAGAAACTGCATTCGCTCAGCAGTAACTGTCGCGTTGTTTTTAATTCCCAAATATGTCAAGTTCCGGAAGCCTGAGGACCAGATTATTTATAAACAACTTCAGCACATATGAATTGAGACTTCAAAAGTAACCACAAAGTTTAACCGAGTAGAAGATGGTGTAAACTACCGCAGACTTGCATTAGCCCATTTTCAGTGATTTGATCACAACAATCAAGAGTCAAAGACTCGAGGTTTGGACAATTCTTGAGGAGAAACAATGAACCGTCTGTGATCTGAGAGCTTGAAATGTCAAGAGAGAGTAAGGATAATCCTTGGGAAGAGATTATATCCATCCAACCATCATCCACTTCTGAATACTCTCCGAGGAGCATATCCTGTCAAAGTGTCAACAACATTCCCAATAAAGAAAAATTTCCTAAAATCAACACGTAGCCGAAATTTATTCTCTTTTCATTTTTTAGGGGTGTTTCAAGTGGTGGGGGGGGGGGGGGGGGG